ATCAGGGATCGTCCAGAAATTTAGGCAGAGTTTATATACAGAATTTGGGGTTCCTTCCTGCCCACTAGGTCATTTTCCACCCAGGAATATCCTCTCATTTTGCAGCAGCTATAGATTGCCCTGAATTCTATCCTTTTATCTTTAAGCTAGAAAGTCTATGGGGGTTTCTGTTGGAGTTTTAGCTCTCCCATGTAGCACAGACCAGGAGTTGTCAGGCTAAAAGCTGTAAACATCAGAGAACTCTCCCCATATTATTCCTTTCTGAAAAGAGTTGACTCCCTTCTTCTCGTTCTCCAGTGCTTTCCTGCATTAGTCCATTCTTTCACTGCTATAAATAAATACCTGAGCCTGGGTAATTTATAAAGAACAGATGTTTAATTGGCTTATGGTTTTACAGGAATCATGATGCTTTACAGGAATCATGATGCTGGCTTCTGAGGAGGCCTCAGGAAACTTACAATCATGGCAGAAGGCAAAGGGGGAGCTGGCACGTCCTGTGGCTGGAACAGGAGCAAGAGAGAGAGGAGGAAGACAACCAGATCTCATGAGAACTTACTATCAAAGGAATAGCACCAAGGGGATGTTGCTAAACCATTCATGAAAGGACCACCCTCATTATCCTATCACCTCGCACCAGGCCCCATCTCTAACATTGGGGATTACAATGACATGACATTTGGGCAGGGACACAGATCCAAATCATATCATTTCATGTAGTTGTTCTATAAATTTTATGCAGAGGTGAGGATTGCTTGAGCTCAGGAGTTTGAGACCAGCCTGGGCAAGATAGGGAGATCCCATCTCTACTAAAAATTAAAAAAAAACCCAAAAACTGGGTGTGGTGGTGCGTGCCTGTGGTCCCAGCTGCTTGGGAGGCTGAGGTGGGAGGATTGCTTGGGCCTGGGAGGTAGAGGCTGCAGTGAGCGCCACTGCACTCTAGCCTGGGTGACAGAGTGAAACCGTGTCTCAAAAAAAAAATTGTTTTTAAATTTTAATCCAGAGTTTATAGTTTTATCTATGGGAGGGTCATTTGGAAGGGTGGCCGTTACTTGGCCAGAAGCAGAACCCTCCCTGCTTACATTTTGAGAAAAACAGATTGAGATTCTATAGTATTCTGCTTCAGGTTTTCTTTCTTGGTCTCATACGGTACTTGTTTTTTGCTGACACCATTCATTGAAAGTAATAACTTTGCAAAGTAAAAATATAAAAACAATGTGGCTCACCCTCCACCCTCCACCCCCACCCCATCTTTCATCCCCCATTTTTATTTCCACATCTGTCCTAACTTGGCTCTGTCTGGTGCCTTTATTATAGCTAAAATTAGCCACACTTGGTATTTTTAACTCTATGGTGCTTGGAAAGTATTTTGAGAGGCTTTGCCATATAACTTCATGAAAATAATGTGAGGAAAAGAAGAACTACAGGAAACAGGTGAAATAATCTATTCAGTTACTGAGAAAAGTTTCTTGTTAATGGGAGAATTTGCTAAGATAGGGAAGTATGTGTTGCCAAGTGAAGTGTTTTCCCACATTTTTTTTTTTTTTTTTCTGTGACTATTTCTAGGTGTCTATACTTTTTGTGAACTCTAATGCTGTGAATGATGGTTTAGGTTTGCTGATGCACTGGGAATTGATCTTTGAAAATTACAAGTCCAATTAAAAAAAGATGGGTGGCCAGACAAAGAATCTGAGCCCTGTGTGCCTATATGTGTGCTAAAAGTCATGGAGCTTATGAAATCTCAGGTAGTCTTGGCTCTTTTTTTTTTTTTGAGAAGGAGTCTCGCTCTGTTGCCCAGGCTGGAGTATAGTGATGCCATCTTGGCTCACTGCAACTTCCACCTCCCAGGCTTAAGCAGTTCTCCTGCTTCAGCCTCCCAAGTAGCTGGGATTACAGGCACAAGACACCACGCCTGGCTAATTTTTGTATTTTTAGTAGAGACAGGGTTTCACCATGTTGACCAGGCTGGTCTCGAAGTCCTGACCTCAAATGATCCACCCACCTTGGCCTCCCAAAGTGCTGGGATTACAGGAGTGAACCGCACCCGGCCCAACCTTGGCTTTTAAGTAGTTTAAAGTCTTGGGTTCAGGCAAGAGGGAGTGAAGAGGTGGTGTATTATTTATAGCTACACAATAAATTACACCAAAAGTTTTAGTGGCTGAAAACGTCACATATGTATTACACGGTTTCTGAGGGTCAGGATTCTGGGTTTGGCTTAGGTAGATCCTCTAACTCAGGGTCTTTCACAAATGCAGTCAAGATGTTGGCGAGGGCTGCAGTCTCAACTGAAGTCATCACGGGGGGAGGAGGATCTGCTTCTAAGCTCATTCACATTAATGGGTTGGATTTAGTTGCATGCCAGCTGTTAGACTGAGGGCTTCATTTTATTCCTGATAATTGTCTTTGTTGTGTGGGCCTCTTCATAAGGTGGCAATCTAGATGGAAGCCAGAGTCATTTTGTAAATTAACCTTGGAAGTGACATTCCTTATATGTATGTACACACATACATATATGTATGTGTATGTATTATTATTATTATTTATTTATTATTTTGCCATACTCTGTTCAGTAGGGGCAAGTCTCTGGGCATGAATACCAGGAGGTGTGCAGATCATTAATAGCTGTTTTTTTTTGTTGGTGAGTTGAGGGTGTGTGGAAGAAGAAGAAGGTATAAATTTTTATTTCTTACAGTGTATACTTAGAGTAGGAGCCAGAATCACACAGCAGGGTGAGAAATTTTAAAAGCAAAGTTTATCATTAGGAAGCTATGTGATGTCTTACATAAGAACAGCAAAGCATCTCAAAGGAACATAACAAAACTTTAAACATTGAAAGGGTCTTTTTCTGTAGTTTTAGGTTGAAGTTTTATCTTAATTTTCTAGTCAATATTTTTCTACACTGACTTGGATGAAAATATTTATAACTGAAAGTATATTATTTCTTTTTACCTATTCTTTTTGAAAGATGGAAAGAAATATTCTTCTAATTGTCTAATAGATTTCAAAGTTCATGTGCTTCCTGTAATGTGCTAAACTCATACATTGTGCAGTAACAAAATTGGAGTAGTTTAAAATCATGGAACAGTAGCTGCTATTTTATTCTTCATGTTTCTGTGTGCATGCCTGTGTGAATCTCTATCTGTATCTATAGTTTGATGTCTAAAATGTTTCCCACAGATTTTGTCTTTCATGTAATTCTTGAAGAAAGTTGAGATTCTATTTGAAGGAAACTTTCCCTGGAGTATTAATTTTATAAATAAGTTTCTTCTTTCTACCTTGAAAAATCTGATATTCTAGACATGTTTTTGTTATAGGTTGATATTATATCTTCAGTAATGAAATCTTTAAAAATAAACCTGGGTTATTTCTGAAAAGAACATAAATTTCAGCAAATAAATTCTTTCCTCTTAGCTTCAAATTAAATATAACATGAAGTACAATGTGGAAATAATAGAAAATATATGAAGAAGTAATTTTGTGGAACTAATATAGTTGATAGAATCTTTCTTTCTTTTTTTTTTTTTTGAGACAGAGTCTCGCTCTGTCGCCCAGGCTGGAGTGCAGTGGTGCAATCTCAGCTCACTGCAAGCTCTGCTGCCTCCCGGGTTCACGCCATTCTTCTGCCTCAGCCTCCCTGGAAGCTGGGACTACAGGTGCCTGCCACCACGCCCGGCTAATTTTTTTGTATTTTCAGTAGAGACGGGGTTTCACTGTGTTCACCAGAATGGTCTCCATCTCCTGACCTCATGATCCTCCTGCCTCAGCCTTCCAAAGTGCTGGGGTTACAGGCCTGAGCCACCGCACCCGGCCAGAATCTTTCTTTTTTCAGTAGAGTGGTTGCAAGTCCAGTCCTAGAAGCAGACTGGCTGCTTTGAGTCCCATTTCTGCCTCTCCCTACAGTATGTCTTTAGTCAAGTTAATTCACTTCTTGGGTCTCAATTTCCTATCTGTAAAATGGGGATATTAACGTTACCTACTAAATAAGGTTGTTGAAGAGATAAGTGAATTAATAAAGGCAAAGCACATAGAACCATATATAGCACTTAGTAAGTACTATATAAATATCCTTATTTTTTACTATTATTATTAGTATTATTAGTATCAACACTGGCTCAGTAATTATTTATGTCACTTAATTGTCTCTGGGGTTTAGGTCTTTCATAATGTAAACCAAGAGATTTAGATTCTTTATGACTGACTAACTGGGGAGCAGTTAGTCTCTATTAGACAGTAATTAACTGATACATTTTTCCTAATTGATAGGATTTTTTGTGCCTACAGTTAATACTCTGAAATATAGCCTCTGAAGTATTTATAGACAGTTGTAGAATGCATTCTTCTGAAACAGTTGGTTTTATTTTATTTTGTTTTGTTTTGAGACGGTGTCTCGCTCTGTCGCCCAGGCTGGAGTGCAGTGGCCGGATCTCAGCTTACTGCAAGCTCTGCCTTCCAGGTTCATGCCATTCTCCTGCCTCAGCCTCCTGAGTAGCTGGGACTACAGGCACCTGCCACCACACCCGGCTGATTTTTTTGTATTTTTTAGTAGAGACGGGGTTTCACCATGTTAGCCAGGATGGTCTTGATCTCCTGACCTCGTGATCCGTCTGCCTCGGCCTCCCAAAGTGCTAGGATTACAGACATGAGCCACCGCGCCCAGCGGGTTTTAATTTTTACATTTGCTTTATCTTTGTTAATTAGTCTTTCATATTACAAGAAAGAGAGGATTGTTTGAATTTTTTCTGTGCTGCTTAGCAGCAGGCCAAGTCTTCATCATTATGTAGATGTGCAGCTAGAGTTGCACACACAAAGCAGGTTCCCATCCTAGATACTCAATCTTACTAGTTTGTTAATATTTCTTTCTTTTCTTCTTTTTTTAGGAGATAGTGTCTCACTCAGTTGTCCAAGCTAAAATTTAGTGGCTCAATAATAGCTCACTGTAACCTTGAACTCCTGGGCTGAAGTGATCCTTCTACCTCAGCCTCCCAAGTAGCTGGGACTACAGGTGCACACCATTGTGCTGGCTAATTTATTTTATTTTTTATTTCTTGTGGAGACAGAGTCTCACTTTATTTTGTCCAGGCTGTTCGCTAACTCCTGGGCTCAAGTGATCTTCCTGCCTTGGCTTCTCAAAGTGCTGGGATTATAGGCCTGAGCCACTGTACCCAGCCTGTTAATGTTTCTTTTTATTTTTTTCTGTCTCCAGAGCTTTTATAAGTTTTACAAGTTTCTCTGTCTCTCTTGTGGTTCTAAGAATATGGAAATTGTGCATTCTCATTGTCTTTATTATTCTCTGTCTCCAGGTATGTTGCAGATAGGGACAGGTTCTTTTTATCGCCTGAGTCACTTAAGTAAGAGGAACTCATGATTGAAGTCAAATAGTACCATAAAAATTATTGAGAAAAGATTACTCCCTGAAAGATTACTCCCTATTGAAAAAAGATTACTCCTAAGCACACATGACTACATGTGGTAGGTACATTCTCTAAAGTACTTTTTCTACATATTATTGTATTTAACCTTAACATTTTTCCCAACTTTAAGAGATTTTTTTTCATCCTGCAGAATGATCCAATAGATTTGCTGAAATGTTTTCTTTTAAATCACGCCATCTTGCTTTCGATGATCATTTAGACTGATCATTTTCTTTGGTGAATCTGGATCCATTATACTAGACTGCATTTGTACTTTGCACATGTTGTAGGACAAAGAGTTTAATAGTGCCATATTGATATTTTTACCTTTTATTTATTATTCTGTTTCTCAGAAAGATGAGTGAAATATTAATGTGGTCTTTAAGGAAGTTTTGCCTTTCTGCATATTTGGTACTGCTGCATTCCAGATGGTTTTCTTGCCTTGCAGAAAATAACTTTGTAGGCTGCTGTTATTTGCATGTGCTGATTGTCAGTGGCATTCACAGTGTTTTTGTTGTATTCCTCAATCTCTCAGCCATTGTGGCAGAACCTAATTGTAACTAGCAAGCAGATTTTTTCCCCTGATTCTTAGCAAGATTTTTTTTCTTTCTTTTTTTAATGGAATGGCAAAGGAGATAAGTCTCTAATTTGGTCTAATAGTGATAGTGGTTGGTTAATTGAAATAAAGTTTGGTATCCTTAAAAATGACATATAACTTTAAATATTTATTTTTCATTTATTTTTGGAAGCTTAAGCAGATTTTTAAATTTTTAAAAAAATTTTTTTGAGATAGGGTCTTAATGCTGTCATCCAGGTTGGAGTACAGTGGCACAATCTTGGCTCAAGGCTTCAGTGATCCTCCCACCTCAGCCTCCATAGCTGGGACCACAGGTGCCTGCCACCCTGCTTGGCTAAGTTTTGTATTTTTTGTAGAGAATGGGGTTTTGCTATGTTGCCCAGCCTGGTCTTGAACTCCTGGGCTTAAGCAGTCCACCTGCCTTAGCCTCCCAAAGTGCTGGGATTACAGGCGTGAGGCACTGCACCTGGCCCGGAAATTTATTTTCTCACAACTCTGAAGGCTGGAAGTCTGAGATTGATGTGCTGGTAGGGCTGGTTTCCTCTGAGGCCTCTCTCTTTGGCTTGCAGATGGCCGCCTTCTTGCTGCCTCTTCGTATGGCTGTCCCTCTGTGTGCTTGCTCCTGTTGTGTCTCTCATTTTTTAAGTACTCTAGTCTCTGTTATATCGTATGTATTAATTAATTCTTTAGTCTTTTGCTGTAAAGCTTTTTCTTTAGTGTTAGTCTGGTGATGAGAACTCTATATTGTTTTTCTTCCTAAAACATGTCCCAGCAGATAATGATGTTTCAGCTTTGGTTTCTTTGAAGTAGAGAGACAACTTAGACATATGCAAAGCATTCTGAATACAGAATTCTGCTAGACTTGTATGATCCTTTTAGTGACCTACCTTGATAAAGACTTTTCAAAACATTTAACTTAATTTTTATAGTATTTCTGTATACTCACATCATATCAATTTATATAATATTTAGATTGCAGACTTACAAGTATAATTACAATGAATACATTTGGTCACAAACACAGCTGATTCTTTTTGTTTGTTTTTTGGGTTTTTTTGTTTTGTTTTGTTTTGTTTTGTTTTGTTTTGAGACAGTCTCGCTCTGTCACCCAGGCTAGAGTGCAGTGACATGATCATGACTCACTGTGGTCTTGAACTCCTGGCTCAAGTGATCTTCCCACCTCAACCTCCCAAGTAGCTAAAACTACAGGCATGTGCCACTGTGCCCAGCTGATGTTTTAAATTTTTCATTTCTGTAGAGGTGGGAGTCTTGCTGTGTTGCCCAGGCTGCACAGCTGATTCTCAAGCACAGTCTAACCTCTGGGAGCAGAACAGTGCAGAGTGATGAGTTGAGCTCTGAGCATTTAGAGTGCTAGTGGTATGGTTTGTGGATGGGAAGGGGAGGAGTGGAGAGATTGTCCATTTGGGCATTGGAGGTCAGAAAAGGAAACTTTCACTGTCGTATTTCAGGGCTCTTACTCCAAGTTTACAGATTTTTGCTTTTTATACTTAGTATCTCTCACCACTTTTCAGGCCACTTCTCTCACAAATCTTTAATTAGGAGAAATACAGTGCTAGTCCTTCATGGGTTTAACATCTGATACTAGTAGAGATGATGTGCACAATATATTGTGAGAGCACAGGAAATAAGTTCTTGTTTTGGGGGAGTGTAAAAGCTTTCAAGAAGAGGTGATTTTCTGAATTCTCAAGGACAAGTCAGAATTAGAAGGTATCTGGGAAGATGAAAATGGGGCAGATAGGTCAGGAAGAGGGGAAGGCGTGTTACTGCTGTAGGGTTGAACTATTTTGAACACCAATGTGCTCCCAGCACTAGGATGGTAGAATAATGTCTGGCACACATTACATGCTTAATAAGTATTTTAAAGAAAGAATAAATGTTGAGGAAGACAGAGGCCCAATTATAGTGGACCCTGTATGTGATGCTGTGAAGCCAGAGTTTATCCTGAAATGAATCTTTGAGGTATCTTAATCAGAAGAGTGGCATGATCAGATTTTATTTGTAAAAATTTCCCTCTGGAAGCATTGGGAGGGGAGAATAAGATTGCAGTGAGAGATACAGGTAAGGAGATTACTGAAATAATCTAGTTGAGGAACTAGGGAGGGCCCAAATTAAAGCTTTTGAGCATTGTGAACAAAGGATACTGATGCATTGTAGGAGTCTTTTGGAAATATAATTGACAGGCCTTGGTGACTGTGTGTGTGGAGCAGTGAGGGTCATGGAGGATTCTGGAGTGATCCCTCCATTTATTTGTAGGATGGTGAGTTCAGAGTGGTGGTGTTGGTGCTATGGACTAGGAAAAGGCTAATCTAGTGCTTAACACAATATATAGCACATGCTATTTATTGTTCACTTTCCTATTTGGGGAAACTGTTTTTTATTCCTATCTGAATGCACAATCTTTATTTTTTTATTTATTTTTATTTATTATTTTTTTTTTGAGACTGAGTCTTGCTCTGTCGCCCAGGCTGGAGTGCAGTGGCCGGATCTCAGCTCACTGCAAGCTCCGCCTCCCGGGTTTACGCCATTCTCCTGCCTCAGCCTCCCGAGTAGCTGGGATTACAGGCGCCGCCACCACGCCCGGCTAGTTTTTTGTATTTTTAGTAGAGACAGGGTTTCACCGTATTAGCCAGGATGATCTCGATCTCCTGACCTCGTGATCCACCCGTCTCGGCCTCCCAAAGTGCTGGGATTACAGGCTTGAGCCACCGCGCCCGGCCTATTTATTTATTTATTTATTTATTTATTTATTTATTTATTTGGAGACAGAGTCTCACTCTGTCACCCAGGCTGGAGTGCAGTGGCGCACTGTCGGCTCACTGCAGCCTCTGCCTCCCGGGTTCAAGCAAATCTCATGTCTCAGCCTCCCATGTAGCTGGGACTGCAGGCACAAGGCACCACGCCTGGCTAATTTTTTATGTTTTTAGTAGAGACGGGGTTTTGCCATGTTGGCCAGGCTGGTCTGGAAATCTTGACCTCAGGTGATCCACCCGCCTCAGCCTCCCAATGTGCTGGGATTACAGGTGTGAGCCACTGCACCCGGCCCACAATCTTTTCTAACTGAGATGGTCTTACTCGCTTTTCCTGTATGCCAGGACCTGTGTTATAAATGTGAACAATATTTGTGGAATTGAGTTGAAACCTAACACAGTTGTGTTTACTCTGAGCCTCTTTAATGTTTGAAATGTCCTAATATTGTAGACTTACCCCAATAAATTGACATCAGATAATAAGATGGAAATCCTGTCTTTAAAATTCCAAAGTTTTTAGTGTCATTTCTTAGTATTTTATTTTCTGAATAAATGACATCTTAGTTCATAGAATGACTCAGTATCATAACAGACGTGATGCTAGTTCTCTTTCTTTAGGATACATTCTTTTAAGAGGCTGATAGAGCTTATTGTGCACATGTTGATAACTCACTACAGACTAGACTCTGTGCTGCACATAGGGGATTCAAGAAAGAATGACATTTTCCATTTTCAAAGGTGATGAAGACATGTTTCTAAATAAATGAGTTGGGTCATGACTTTCAGTGGTGGTACATTTTAATACTTTACAGCTTATCACATACTAACTGGGAGTATCATTCAAATACTAGGTGCATCCATAATTTTTTTCCTCCTTTTGATTGCCTCCTCCTTTGCATCCTATCTATCTACAGATCCTTTCTGTTGTACCTACAACATACATCCCCGGTGCTTTCCTGTTCCTCCTTTTTTTCTAGTCTGGTATTTGTGCTTCTGTTTTGATTTTGCTGCCACTTTCTTGAATTCTTTCTCTACATAGTAGGTACAGTTATCTTTAAAATGTAGGTCATGTTCTGCTTAAAGCCCTTCAGTGGCTTCCCAGTATACACTTGGAGTAAAACTCAAGTCCTTTCCATGGCTTAAATATTGCCTCCTCAGAGAGTCTTGGTTGTTGAGAGATTAATGAATATTCTGATAACTCAGAGGAAGGAGCAGTTAGTTCTGGCTTTGGGAACCCCAGAAAGAATTAATAAGAGGAATAGTATTTGATCTAGGTCTTGATGAGTCGGATTTTGTTAGATTACAGTATGTGCTGAAAAAGCATTTGAAGAGTGCCTACTATGTGCTACGTACTGTCATATTCATGCTTTCTTTGACAAGTAATGATTAATAAGTGATATCTTTGAAAATTGATATTTGTTAACAGCTTGTTTTTACTGTGATCTCAGTAAATAGTATATACAAGACTAGCCTAGCAATCTTTAGTCTGCTTAAGTACCAGGAACTGTTTCATTCACTGGTACCTATGAGAATAGAACTTGGCAAGCATTCTCATCACATATACCTGCTCAGTCAACTTAACTATATTCAGAAATGAACCACCTGACAAAATCACAGAATTGTAATTTGGTGTCTTGGTTTTTAGACCTTTTTTCCCCCTCTGTTAAACGAGCTGTTTCTAGCCTTTTAATGCCATATTTTATTTTAAAATAC